AAAGCTATCAATAAACTCTTAATACAGGAGATTGGAAAGGACTGGAAAACTTATATAGAAAAGCTAGATCAAGATTACGATTCTGAGTCTGAAGATGAATTAAAAGATCTCAAAAATAAAATAAAAGATATTATATTTAATTGTAAACCTGCAATCAAGAATCTTGTTACTACTAATGATATGTAAATCGCAAGATGTAATCTTACTTTTTTTTGCCACGACAAAAATTTGTTATGATCATTATTCGAGTGACATGAAAAATAGAAATCGCATGTCAAACCCACGATAAGACCAACTCAGTAGCATAACCTATCTCGGAGAGTATCTTATACTTGAAATTAGCTATAGATGTCAAACTGGTATATAATAGTTAGTATAAAGTCTGATGACATGAACACAAATTTGTCGTTATATTTTTTATAGATCATGAGGTACCCAAGTGTGATGACAGACTCATGAACTAATCATCACTCGAATAATGATGTACATATGATCTTATTATCACTCAAATGACGACATACATATGATCTTATCATCACTCGAATAATGACATACATGTGATTTTATCATCATATCTGAGTGGGAATAACCTAGACTAAGTGAAAATAACATAATTATGTTATTTCCACTTGATAAATATATATTTTAAATTTCATAAAAATTAAATTAATATTTATAAAAATATTAAGATTCAAAATTGAGTAATTAAATTATTTACTATATAATTTTTATATTAATTTTAATCAAATTTTATATAGTAAAATTTAAGAAATAATAATTGAAAAAAGTTATTATTAGTAAAATTTTTTTTATAAAAGATATATAATAAAAATTTTTATATTTAAATAAATCCTGATATTTAATAATTTAATTAAATAAGATAAAATTAAAATTTTATTTTGAAAAAATAATTTATTAATATTTATCTAAGGTATAATTTTTTTATATCAACTTATATTTATAAATCTCTTTTTTTATATTTATTTTTTTTATATTTACTTCTTCTTTTAAGATCTTAATTTTAAAATTTTCATATTAAAATCTTGATATAATAATTTTAATCTAAAAATATTAATATTAAAATCTTAATGTAATATTTAATTTATATCTTAGTTAATATTAATTAATAATACTATAATAATTTTTATATATAAAAAAATAAATAAAAGAATCTGCTCTTTTAAATTAAAATAAATATTTTAAATTATTTGAAAAATATAATTAAAAAAGCTTATTATCATAATAATAGTAATCTTTTAATTTCTTTTTTAATTATACTAATATTTTTTTTATTTAATTTTATTTTTTTAATTATATAAAGTTAATTTTGAATTTTTATTATAATATTATATTAATTTTAATTTTAATATTTTAATATTTTTAATCTAATATTTTTAATTTTTATATTTTTGTAAATTTAATTTTGATTTATATTTTAATTTATATTAATTATATTATTTTTAGTATAATTTTCTTTAATTAATAATAATTTTACTTATTAATCATTATAAATTTTAAGTTTTATTTTATTTTTTTTTATAATTTATCTCTTTATTATAATTTATTTCATTTATAATAATATTTATAATATTAATATAAGTTTTAGAAATTCTTACTAATATTATTATAACAAAATTAGATTAGTTATTAATAATTATATTATATTTATCTTTTATCTTGCAGATTATTGCTACATCACATACTATATTACACAT